AAAACCCATTTAAAAAATACCGCAACTGCACACAAAACAACAACAGCTTTCAAAGAATAATGATAAGCAGGACGCTTACAAAAGCCCCCCCCCCCCCTTGTAATAGAAGTCCTCTTCCCCCATCATACTAGAAGTTCCTGCCGTATCAAAAGCTGCTGAAGAGCGGTTGGTATGAAAGATGTATTAGAAGCCTAGGGCTTGTATTACACCCAAGAGATTTCGGAGTTTTTTCAAAGTCGGCCTTCGTCTTCGCACTGCTAGTTTACATTGGCCAGCGTTCTACACGTGAGAAAGCGCACTAGACAACACCTCACAAAGTCCTCGCCGATGATTTCAACGATAGAGAAAACGTGGGTGTCAGTGGCTAGCGGTGTGGCTATGGGTGTAGGTCAAAAGAAGAAAAACATCCACACCGACCCACCAACATCGAAACTCACAACTACACCCACAACATTAAACTTCTTTTGGAAGAAGTAGTCTAATTATGTGTATTTATACATGAATTTTTTTCATCTCATTCTTTTTTTACAATTTATTACATGAAATAGTATGTTTTTTGGTATATGTACGACATAGAATAAGGTTTTTTTGTATATTGATATTAAATTTGAGTGTTGTACGATTATTTGAACTTATCACAAATAGGTAGCCAAAATGATTGAAACAATGACTCCTTTATATACTTTTCGAAATTTCTTTATGAAAGTCATGCTAGTTGCCCACCCCATAATAGAAGCATCCTCCAAAATCTCTGAACAGTGGATAGTTTAGAAGCCCACAGGTGCTTCTATTATGGGAAGGGATTTAGCTAATTTTATCAGATAACTATGGACACAACATGAATACCATACAGAAAAAATGGTGATGAAAAAACTGTTATATTTGAAAGAAGAAATTATCAAATAAATTTTTCCCGCCAACTTTCATATTTCTGATCAACTAAAAATAGTCATTTTTGTTCGAGAAAATCATACACTTGTAGCCATTTATATAAATATTAGAAAAAGAAAAAATAGACAACCTAATATTAGAATGGAAAAAGAGAAAGTTGAAGTCAACAATTTATCTATGTACTATTTGTAACGTCAGGAGTAACAAAAAAATCTCTAAACGGTGCCATCGAACGCCCAGTATAATGCAAACATATTTTGAGAATCAAAATCCATCTGGTATAGAATTTTAAAATGCTATTCGTATCAAATATGAGTACGAAGCCAGTGCTTCGTTACTTATCATTATTATTTAAGAGAAAAAACTCACCAATATTGCTGCATGATATTAATTGCAGCTTTGGTTTGTCGGTTTCAATTTCAGAAGATATTCCCTCACAAAACGGTCAAATTAAGGTCAGACAACCGCTTGGGCCGTAAATAAGACGAGAACGGTCGCTCCGCACCAGTCCTGCTCTCAAAATTCATAAGCAGGGCGGCCGCACTCATATAAGTTATACTCCTCAAGACGGGACGGACAGACCGCACGAGCGGTGCACATCTCTGCTATGTATTACTATCGTCTTTATTACAATTTTTTAAGATTAGGTAAGATTCTTATGAATATTTATTAGAATATTAAATTTAGTTTTTGTTCCTTAGAAAAACGTATTAAATATAATATAGAATAATTAAGTAGTTCTGATCACATCAATCACATTGTTTATGCTCTAGTCTTCATGCGTTCTTCGATTTATCTGAAATTCATTGTACTTGTCAGACTTCGAAATTTTTGTTGAACATTTTGATTAATAAAGAGCATCTTTTTTAATTCAGCTCAAGAAGTTTTGATTGTATATAAAATAGAATTTTCATCAAATGACAGAGGATGTATACAATATTCCAGCTACCTCCAAACAGTTATGCAATAATCGGGAAAAGCGACAAGATCAAGAACATTTTTTTTCCTTTAGTCATTAACCTGATTGAATACATATAATAGCGGTACGTGCTTTTCTAGATATTCTGTAAATCAAATATCATATTTTAGTGGTATATCAAAGCTTATCGTTGTTATTCGTCTTAAACAGTGAAATAAAATCTTTAACAAAAATAATCAAGTTATTTTTCTATGAATGTCACCAATTTATAGTTTTCTTCAAGTTCAGTTAATTTTTTGATACAATATCTCGGCGCTCACACATTGCTACATAGATATATTTACTACGTGACTATTTTCTTCAATGAGTAGACATAAATCTTTTTTTTAATTGTTTTACTACTTTGATAACTAATAGCAAGAACTGTTCTAACTTCATCAATGTTTCTGGGTCTCTAGCTGAAATACTAGCATTACTAATTAAAGAATCCATTTGACCACTATATTTTCGTTTAATTCCCATGTCGCGAATGCCGGAGCACTTTTAGCGGTAAACCGCGGTAGCAGTCAAAACTGTCGGTTTACCGCGGCAAACTGCCGGTTTTAATTTCTACCGCAGTTTATTAGCAATTTCAGCGGTAAACCGTGGTTCACGGGTAATTTTTCCATTGAACCGGAGCAAAAGAATAGCTGCAGAACGAAAAATAAATCGTGCATATATGTACATATGCGCGTCCATCCCATCACTTATTCGTTTTGTTTGCTTGGTTAGCGGAAAGAATGAATATAATGGCAACGACGTCCAGCTAAGAATTAATTTTGTTTTTCATATTTGAGTGTTTAATATCAGTTTTTTAGACTACTTCTTTTTAGATTTAGTTATTAAATTTATTTTATTAAAATTCTATATATATATGTTGTTTTTTCAGATTAAGTTTTTTATTCATTATTTTTAGATTATTTATTCTTAGATAAAGTTTTTTTAAAGTATTTTATTTTAATTTCATAAAACTATTTTATATGTTTATCATTTTAGATCAGTATTGTTTCTATAAATTTAAAAAAAAAATTTGTACTCAATTTTTTTAAATTAATTATTTTATACTTACGTCTTAAGATTAACTTTTGTTTTTATTTTCGTGTGTGTTTGTTACGTTCGCTTGTATTTTTTTATTTTTGATTCAAATAAAAATTATTCTTATCGAAAAATAATTTAATTTAACGAAAAACATCGAGGAAACAGATGGAAACGGCACCAATTAGCTGCACATACAAGCATCAGTAAACCGAGATTTACCGCGCTTTTGGGAGTCGGTAAAACTGCGATTAACCGCCGATTTTCATCACATGGATTTCATTAGTGATGAAAACAATATTGTCTGATGCTGATATCTCTAATTTACAAACAAGTACATATAATAGAGAACCTGATACCAAGTGAAAATTCATCTTAGATATATTTTAAGTCTCGACTTCCAAGAATAATAAAATTGTTCTTAGAGGGAGTTTATTCTTATAAAAATTTTTCGATCGACTTGAAAGTAAAACTTTTATTAGTTTCAGTTAGAAGAATGACACATTATTACTTTTTGTTGACAAAATAAGGGCATTATCACAAATAGAAGTAAAAAAAAGAACAAGCTTACCAAATCTTCTGATTCGATCAGAATACTCCTAACTTTCAGACTTTTCTCATGATAGAAAATCTCTTAGTTTCAGAAACTGATTCTACAGATTTTATTCTAATTTCCAGGTTTTACTTTAATCTTTTAAAACATTGTGAATCAATAAAAAAACAAAAAAACGAGAACTGATTTATCGTAGTGTCAAATAAATGTAGTTTTTGTGAAATGGTTTTTAGTCTCATGTAATAAAAAGCATTGAATTACTTGAGATAAGAAAACGCTAATGAGTTTCTTTTTATAGTCAATATTTGAGGACAAAAGAACAATCTAAGTCAAGATGACACGCCTTCTAACAACATTCATATCGAGACAACGTTTTAATGAATGAGAATGAATATGAAAGATAGAATACTGGAAACGATATGCTCTAAATTTAAACAAGTATCAAATTTTTAGATGCAAAAGATAAAATTAATCGTATTTGAAGAGAAATTATGTGTCGAAAACTAGATTTCGTTAAGAGTTTAATCAGTAATAATTTAATTAATATTAGTTTCATTTCTTTAAAAAGTTCACATTAACATGAAATATGTTCAAATGAATGTGTGAATATTTAGAGTTTATCCCTGTTATTTTTTTTTAAAAGAATAATACATAGTACTTTTAAGGCAATATTTTAATTGTAATGAATATATACAAAAGCTTTATGAAAAATATAATATGATAATATTGAAAATAAATAATTATAATGCCACTTATTAATTTTTAAAAATTTTAGTTGCCACTTGGTTAACTATTTCACCGGGTAGTGACCAAATAGCAAGTAAAAGAAATATAACTAAAATAAAAATAACGATTCCTAAAATGATTGCCCATTTGAAATTACGCCATATAACAAAACGTAATGTTTTCCATGGTGATGTAAACCAAAGAAATGATGTTTTTGGACGACTAGAATCAATAGAATTTATTTTTAAGAAATCAAATACTAAAACTAACTTTGGTTCTTCAAGTGGTTGTGGTGCTTCACGTGCTTTTCCAACGGGATTTTTTTCTGCTTCTTCAGCAGTAACGAGTGATAATTCAGCTTCAAATTTTCCCTTTAAAAATAAAGTAAAATCTTCATCTTCTTTTCTTCATTATTTATTGTTGACTTACTCCTAATAAAGCTTTATCACGAATTTCACCCGCTTTCAATGGAGCAATCATTGGCCACCAACCTAAGTATTCAAAGTAGAATTAAAGAAAATTCAATCAATCCAATAAACAAAAACAAAAACAAAACAAATCAAATATCCATACCAGCAATACGTTTATGAACAAATAAATTAATTCCTTTATGTTTTGGATTAAGTAGAATATCAGCTTTACATTTTTTTGATAATTTACCACCAAGTGGTACATGTGTAAGAGTAATAATAGATTCACCTAGAAAAAGTTTAATTTATTCAATGATAAATAAAAAATAAACAAACCTAGAAAATCATCAGCTGAAAAAAAATCTGCATCATAAACACGAACAATAAGTCTTGGTGGAATCTTTTTTTTTGTATTACCAACTTGAAATACGGAATCTTTTGCTTCAAAAATAACTTTTTCTTCTATATCTAAATAGTCAAAATCGAATACGAATCGCCAATTAAAATTTCCTTCGCCTGTTAATGATCTAATATTAAAAACAAAAAGAAGATATATGTATATAGTAATTTGATTAATTTTAATTATTAAAACGAACCTATAATGAATATCTGTTTGTTGTGCATCAACTGTTTCTCCTATAATCCATGCTTTAACATAAATATCTGATGTTTTCTCTCCGGTAAGGAAATTTTCATCATTCAATTCTACATCAGATGTATTCCAGATAGTTAGACGTAATTGATAAGCTGTAGGTTTAGGTGGTGTTATATCAATCATAGCACTTGAAGGTGGTCGTGACATTGGAAAAAAATCTAACCACATTTCTAATTTTCCTTGTTCAGTTTCAGGAAATTCTGGATTAAAAAGTGATCGACATTCAATATGTTCAGTGACTAAAGCACCTTGCTACATAAATGTTAAATAATAAAAGAAATGAAAAATTTTGAAAGAAAGAAATTTTTCTTTTTACCGGATTAATTTTTCTTCCCCATCCATGTAGAGCAGCTAATGCTGTATTCTGTCTTATATATTCTTCGGGTGATTCATGATGAGCTTTTCGATGTAAAGTATCTACGGATGATTTTGCATACCTTATAAATTCAACACATGCAGGATCACATTCAAAACTTTCATCACCGATTGCTACTGAACGAAGATTTGCCGCATAAACAGGTGCATTAATATTTATTGTTCGACATAATTCAGTTAAAATAATTGTTGGCTTTTTTGTATCACGCCAAGTATTATAACCCGCACTAAACATTAAAAAACTCGAATGTCTATTTATTAATTTAAATTGTTTTATTGACCTGTCATATCTTTTTGGTAAAGCACAAGTTGGTCTATGACATGAAAACCAACGATTTTCAATATCAATTTTTGTTTCAGCAATCATATCATTGGAACTTGCCATATCCCAATCCCATAATTGTATACGTAGTAACGATTGAAGAGGTAATTGAGCTTCAAATTCATATGATCTATTTAACAAAAACAAAAATAATGTGTTTGTTTTTTATTTTGTTGAATACTTACTTGCCAAAAACGGGTTCTAATGTATTTTGAAGTTTTCCCTCAACATCATCAATTATAGTGTCATTGTTTAATACTATTTTTATAAATGGATCGGCTTTGCCTGATTGATCCCAACCACGATATAATAGAGCTTTTATTATATACAATCGACATTTTAGTGTTATAGGATTTTTATTAAAATCAAATCGAAGCATTAATTGATTTGTTGGTAAAGGTGCACCAATTGTTGGTTGGAAGAGTGTTTTTATTCCAGCATTTGAAAGATCTCGATTAATAGCTGCTAAAGACATTCTATTTGCTCTGTCCATCGAAATTCCAAGCGAAGAACTTTTTGTTGGAAGTTCTTTAATACGAAATTTACCCTAAACAAGAAATAGATAATGAAGAAAAAAAAACAAAGTAGTTTTCATGGCAAAAAAAAGTATCGAATGCTCATATTAATAACTAGACAAAAACAATCATTAAGACTTTGTCGCAATATTATTTTGGACTAATTTCATTATGATAAAAATTAATATAATAAAAATAGTTATAGTAGAATTTTACAAGAACATCATTTTTTCATATTTATATTTCAGAAAATCTAATAAGTTTTATTAGTAATATTTATTAATCCTAAAGAGTTAAAACAATGATCGACAAGTGATAATTTACTATTATACAAAAAAAGAAGCAAAGAGAAGAGCTGAGTTGTAACTTGGGATTGACCAATTTCTAGTTCCAAGTTCAAGTTAAAGAAACGAAAGTACTGTACAAACAGATCAAATCCTATTAAAAGAATTGTTCGAGCGGACAGATCATATTATCAAATCTGTTCCAATGGTTTAATTTCTAGAACTGAGTTGTCCGAAAAATTTTGTTCTGTAGTGGGAATAACATATTTAAGTAACAGAAGGAAAGTTTCTTTAACTTTGAAATGCTTGTCTTAAAAATAGAACAAAATTTGTGCGAACAAATCAGTTCATATCTGAGAACCTTTTCAAGAGTACCTCAAATTCGAGCTAGAACTCAACTTATTAACTTCTATTTGTCACTATCAGGAAAATTCCAATATTTTGTATTGTCTTCTGTTGACTCATACTTGGTGTCTATGAAATTGAATGCAATTACTCAGTCAAACAAGATGATTATTCAACCATATATATGAATAATTTATCATTGTGAATATACATTTTGATTTTGTTTTTGTGTACTTAGTCTGTTCATTATTGTTTATCTATCGACAAAACTTATCAATAGATTGTATTCTTCTGATAAATTATATTACTTTAAATGTATCCTATAACAATGAATTTTTACTGACTGTCGAGTATGAAATAATATCACATGCCAGTTCTCCGACAGATAACTTCACTGCAAGACTCTACTTTGATTTATTTTAACGGAAATTAAGGAATCTTTCGTATGACGCTTAGCGATATCTATATGTAAGATGTAAAAGAACAACTATAATTTTATTGTTTGCATAGGAGAAGACTATTACTGTGGAGAGCCTGTCAGGTCCAACATTTTCGAATCTGGGCCCGAATGATCAAACTTTTCGCACCCGGTCAAGCCGTACTTTGAGACTTTCAATGAAATTTTCTAAACGAAATAGGATAGCCTTCTCAAAAATGCAAGATACTTTTTCCACGTTTTTTTTTTATTCGGTAACTAGTGCAGTACTCTATACATTTCTCAGAGGAGTCGTCTAAAACATCTGTAAGATAGAGTCTATCGGATCCGAAGTTTTCAGACTCATATCCAATTAACAGAAAATTTCCAGATCTGAATTCGATCTGAACCCGAACTGATTCAGGTCTGCAATCAACCTGACGGACTCTATTGTCATGCCTTATTTCAATGAAGAATAAATATGATAAAAAATACTAACCTTAAACTTCGTATGGACACGTTTTTCATCACCGATTTCATCTGATCGACTTGAACCTTTACCTTTATATCTAGATGAACAAATGAATGTCTTAAATAAAACTATTTCCATAACAATCTTACAAAGGAAATGAATCAAGACAATCATTAAAACCTTCATAATCATGAACATTTTCTAATTCTGTTTCGATTATCTAACGAAAAAAACAAAGAAAAGGAAAAATCATAAACAATATATAATTGGTTTTTCTTACATCAAATGTTTGTAATAATGTTAATTCTTTAAGACGATCAATTTCAATAAGATCTAAACTTTCATCAACAGCTGATTTTGACTAAATTATTAAATCGTAGAAATATTATTTGCAAAAAAAGAATATTTCAATTTTACTTTTTCAGAATCTCCTAATTGCTCCATTTGTTCAGTGGCAAAGTTTCGTAATGTTTTATGAGCTTTTCCAACATGTAGAAATATTTTTTTAGCTCTGTTCCACAAATTAAAACGCTTTTTGGCAACAAGTACTACAAGAAATTTATCTTTCGAAATTAATTAAATAACAAAAATCTTTCAAACAGACATGATTCATCTTTAAAAAAATCTGCATAGGCATCATAACTATCTATTAAACCTTCATCCATGTCTGGGGCAGATTGTTGCATCAATTTCTATTAAAATATTAAAAAAATAAAAAATCAAGAGAAAAATAAATAATTCCATACTAGTCTTGCTTTTGATGCATAATATTTATGCCACCATCCAGCTGCTTTTTCCATATCATTTCTTTTTACTTTTTCTAATGTTGTTAAAGGTTCATCACCATTTATTCCATTACTAGGTGATTCAGTTGTCGAATTAGGTTCTCTTGAACCGTCTTTTTCTTTATCTGATTTTCCACCAGATTCATTACCTTCCTATTTTTTTTTTGTTAAAAAGAGAACAGTTATTAATAAAAATTTCTTTTTTTCTAATTACTCTTTTTTTTCTATCCAATGAATCATCATTGATAATTGCTACTTGACTATCAGTACAGGCTCTATCACGACCTGCACTGCTTTCAAACTCATCTAATTTTTTTCTTCCTAAACTCTCATCCTGTGCCGCTAGAGTAGCTAAAATGAAATCAATAATTGAGAAATAAATTCAAAAGACATGAAAATATACCTTCATATGCATCAATAACCGATCGTCGAACACGATTAAAATTGTATGGAATTCTTTTTGATAATTCATTCACAGCATCTGCAACAGCTTGACCACCTGATGATAAAGGCTCAATAGGTTTTTCAAGGTATTTTTGTAAATTAGTTACAACTAGATTGCCAACGACTTCTTTCATTCCAAAAAGACGATGCTGTACACATAGTATACTTAAATGTGGCCAAAAATTATTATCATTTGGTAAATTCTGCAAAACAAAACAAAAAGAAAACATTTTTTTTACAAATAAAAAATAGTTAAATTTTTGTTTTCTTTTCATACAACAAGAAGCGTATATTTGTCTGATTCACTAGATGATGATTCAAAATTTGGATATTTTTGTACATTTTTTATTTGTCTTGTTATACGTGCACCAGAACATTCAATTGTGACTTCAGCTTCTTGAATAGATTGAAGATTAATTGCACGACATTCACGTAAACCCCAAAACATAATCTATTAAAAAGTACAACATTTTTTCTTAAATTAACAATTAAATATTATAATTACCTCGATTTGATAAGTTTTATAGTCAGGTATCAATAATAATGGAATTTGATAAATTTTATTTTTCATAGTTTTTGTAACATAACTTATTGGTGGATAATTATCCGGTGTTATTGGAATTTCCTGAAGTCCAAATGCCGCTTCAGCTTCTCGTGTTTCCTATTGCCAACAAAACAATTCGAAATCTTTGAGTGAGAAAAAAAAATTTTTTTTTTTAAGATAAATTTACCGGATTAACTTCAACAAGTTCAAATACAGCTAAAAGTTCTCCGGCTTGTTTTTCACCAAATTTAAATTCATACCATTTGAATAAGGACTGCCGCGTGAAATTATTTGGGTCACATAAATCAAGTTTAGCTGTTGTACAAAAACGTCCAATTAAATCTGGACCATCATCACCCTAAAATCATTAACAAAAAAACCTTTTTTATTCAAACCATCGAAAACTACCGATTCAACGCAGTTAATCGTGACTCTTCTGCTTAATTTTTTTTTGCATCTCAAGGCATAAATATATTTAAACTCTTAGAAAAATGTTTGATTTCATCCGAAACCACATTTTCGTGTTATTGTGAGTTCACCCAAGCCATTTATCCTGGTCATATTAGTTGCTTTTGCTTAGTTTTTGAATTTTATTATTTATTAAAGATAGCGTTACAAAATTAGTTGTTAGCTAGAAGACTTAACTAATAGAAAGAGTGTAGTGCCATCTGACACAACAACCTATGGCATACTACAATCGACTATTTTCAGTTAATATTAATCTCTTCCAAACTGAAAATGCTAATTTAATAGGCAAACTATACAAAATTTGATAGCCACGGACTAAACTAACAGTTGGAATCAGTCGAATTTTTTCTTTACCGGTATTGATATACTGGTACGAGTCATTATTTTTCTTCCTGGCCCTATAACAATCGAATCAACTCCTAGATCAGTCACATCTTTCGCATAATCAATTCAGGATTTGTATAAAAGCAATGTTTCTCTTTTTTGGTATCTATTGGCAAACAGAATACTTTGTAGGACTACAAATTCTTTAATAATTTTGTGCTTTACTTAACTAGTCTTCAGATATCGACACTATTTATTAACTGTATACCTAATCTACCTTCTACAGTATATTCGCTTTGTTGTATATTATGTCTGTAGAGAATATATGCTATAAATAGCAGAAAAACACAAAAAAAATCTATGAAAACCTATAATTCTATACAAAAATACTCGATTTTGTTTTAATAACATGGCGTCATACAAAAGTGAGTTGAGAAAATATAATAAGGATTCTATGACGAATTTAGACCTAATAGAATGGTCTGATGTATATTTCCACGCCAATATAGTCTTCGACATATAGTAAAAAGCTTTTGATTTGCGAAAAAAAGACTTTTATATCGAACTTTTCCGAAAGAAACATACAAAACCCCCCAAAAAAAGTCCAGACCAGTCCGATTGATTACCGTTCGAACTGTCAGTTTTTTTATGAACTGCGGTCAACCAGATACTTCTTCTGATCAACAACATCGTGACACCCACCCTCTCTGTCGTGTTCTACTAATACGACGGCTTAGTATATAGGGTGTCGTTGATCTTGAGAAAGACCGATAAAGCTCTAAATCAAGTTTTGAGTATCAAAATAAATCTTTTAAATCCAACAATCGTCGATAATCGACATTGAAATTATCCAGTAACTTTGCCTGGTTTTTTTTTCTAATATGAATAAGACCTATCTTTTTCTTCTACTTTTTCAAACAGAATAAAATGAAAACAGATACTAATATAAAAGACTTCAAAAGTTTTTCATTTGCAATACATGCGTTAGGTTATAGTTCTATTCCTTTGGACTAGAAACCTTGAGTTTTATTCTTTTTTTTTTTTTGACTCAAGAGTTGACTTTTCTCTATGAAATCAAGTCGAAAAGAACAGAGAATAGTACAAAAGAGACATACAATCTTAAGATTTTTAGACATAAACATGTCATAAACGATAATGTTCAAATATCTTGGTAAACTTTGTTTAAACATCTTCATGATAGACATAAAGAAAATAATACAAAAAATTTTTGTTTTTTAATTATAAATGATTATTGATTGACGATTGCAG